TGACATTAGTAAAATTCATCATCATCACATCACCAATTTAGTCAAAATTAAGTGCCAACAAATTTGTCATGAGGGACGTATCTGTAAGTTAAGGTGTACTCTGGCTGTATAGCCCTCTTTTGCTAAACCTTGGTCATTTATGTAGTTCATTTCAACAATTTTCTGGCATCTTCTTGACTTATGAACAGTGGCGGCAGCAGGATTTCCCCGACTGGGGGAATGAACTTATGAAAGTAGCGCCGCCATTGCTTATGAAATTAGAATGCAGTTGAAAATTAAGGGGACCAACCCCTCTTAAAAATATGTGGGGATGTTTCCCCCATGATCTACGCCTATGATCTGGCAGCTCTCATAAGTTGGATAGGAACAAAGACAAATTTATTAAATTACATTTATAAAAGGGATTACAAAGTCATTGACTATAAGTACAGCAACAGTAACATTATTAGGTAGTTTTTGCCGCACAACATTAACCATAAGTTTAACGAATGATGTCATAATCTATTCACCTTGCGTTGTGGGGTACGTTAATTTTGGGATTTTACGTGCTCGACGTACATTAGTTATGGGTTTACGTAACTTATGTGCATGCATATTTTGATTTGTTTACAAAATGAGCGGAGCTATCGTGTTGCATGTTGGGTAGTAACGTAAGTTAAGATTAACGTTGTGCGGCGAAAATCACCATATTATGTTTAACACCATTTTTATCTTTTTTTATGTCAACACCATTGTTTTCATCATTGTTCAGGTGAAAACCATCACCTTCGTCATTTTCTATGTCTGTGCCATCTTTATCATCATCATCACAATCATCATTGTCATCTCCATCTTCATCATCGTCATCACCATCCTCTTTATGACCTCATCATCAGTGTTCTATTTTACAATATTATGGTTGCCTTCAACATCTTCACAAACTTTAATATCATTAGAGCGCGACTTTTTTAATACCTTGTTTATTGAAGTCATTTTTCAAGATTGTCAGAGGACGGAAAAATAAAAATATAATTTAGGTGGAGGAGAAAATAAAAATAAACTTTTTTTCTGAAATTTTCTTTTTTTGTGGTGGAGGGTGTGCTAACTAGCCAAAAATAACATTTTATTTTCATACGGAATGACTTTTTATTAGCGGTTGGAGGGTTCGGTAAACAATATATAAAGAAGTGTTGCCTAATCATCAACTTCAACGTAATCACCATCGTCATTTTCCACAGTAGAATTTTCATCTTTGTTGACTTCAATATCAACATCATTATCATCATCATTGTCGTCATTGTCTTCATCATCATCATCGTCATTGGCATTAACATTATCATCACCATCACCATCATTGTCAACATTGTTAACTTTAGCACATTTACTACCATTACCATCACAACTGTTGTTGGCACCAGTTTTATCAGCATTATTATCATTGTTAATTTCAGTGTCATCACTGCTGTGATTATCATCAACAATAACATTGTTAACGTCGACACCATCATCATCATCATCATTGCTGACTTTGAGATCATCGCCATCATTGTTGACATCAAATTCGTCATCATCATTGACCTTAATAACATCATCATTATCATCATTGCTATCATGATAACCGTCCTTGACCTTATCATCACCATCATCATTATTATCATTATCATCTATAACACAATCACCATCAGCATCATCATGCTCATTTATAACATCCCCATGAATGGCACTGTTATCACTGCTTTCATCATCATCATCATTATCATAATTATCATCATAATCATTGTCACCAATAGCAGCATATCCGTTATCAATATTACAGACGTAATCATCGCCACAACTGCTATTACCGATTGCTGTTGATTTATTTCCAGCACCTTTGCTTTTTGAACTAAGATCGTTTACTCTACAGTCTTCCGTGACAATCTCTGAAACTTTTGGTGTCACTTGATCTAAACTTTCATAAATGATGTTCTCTTGTTCCAAATAAACATTCAGAACATCTGATATTTTATCAGTCGGATCATCTTCTGAATCCTCAAAATTATCAGTAAGACTAACCTCAGAATAACAGTTCAATGTTCCCGGTGATACATCGTTCCCATCCTGTCCAGCTATAACACATCTATGCTTTGTTGGTGATGCTGGCCTATGCTTTTCTATTGTATACTGATTTTGGAACGCTTTTTGCTTGTGATGTTCAAGTGATGTATGCTGTCTAGATGTTGCATTCCAAGGCTGTCCCAACGGTTTTTGCTTTAAAAACATAATAAAATCTGTGGTGTCCTCATAGATTTCATTTTCATGGCACACATATTCGTTCATGCGCTCAACATCTTCATAAATGTTGCATGTTTCAAACGTTTGTAATTCTAAATCTGTGGTCGATGGTAAAAACGTCAACGAGTGTTCCTCATGCTCAAGGAATTGAGGTTCTTGGTAAATATGATTTTCGTCTACATCTAAATCAATATGCTTTTGGCTGTGCGTGAGTGATCTTGTTGACATACTTTCTTTATTGCCTGTTTGTGGCTGCCATAATGTTCGTAAGGTTCTACGATATCTTGCATAGATAGCAATCAGTATTAAAAGTATAACGCAAGTTATACATATGAGAACAATGCCTACTATCTGGCCTGTTTTTTTGCCTGTTTTTGTGCCTGTGGTTGTTTGCATTCCTATGCCTGTAGTTTGCGGCCCTATAGCTGTTTGCGTTCCTGTGCCTGTTGCTGTCATGGTAGATTGCTTGCCATTGGCATGTTGCATATAGGTTCTTTGAGTAATTTTGGTACGAAATGTTTCATTGCTTTCTTTGCCTGTTGAAGGTAGTGTGCCTGGCATAGAATTTTCATCATTATATTGAGATGTATAATCATTTTGGGCACTAGAGGTTGATGTTTTGCTTGCAGACTCAGTATTATACATTTCTGATTGACTACCAAAGTCAGCTGTACCAGTATCCACCGTACTAACATATATTTCACTAGAAATCTCAGTATTATACATTTCCTTAGTAAGCATGTTTGAAGAGGCCACTTTGCGGCTACTGTAACATAATATAAGAACTAATGCTACATACAATGCCATATTCGGGATCCGCATGAGGCAATACGTTTTTGCTGATGAATAATCAGCTGTCAAAAGTTCTTGTGAATTTACTAGAATTTTGATTACTCTTGTTTGCTGTTGCTTGCCAATTTGGCCATTGAATGTAGGTCAGTATTTTTTTCTTACCGTTACCATTGCAGTACTAATTTTGCAACATAATCATTTATCAAGTATCTTCATATATCTTCGTTCAGATGTAGTAAAAGTATGTTATAAGTGATGAAATATACTTCTGCTATAACATGATTTTGAATCACAACACAAGCACCTCAAATCTGGTCTCCAAACCCTACCAATTAATAATTGTTATTTGTATTAAACGTATTTCCAGTGGAGTTGGCTGTTTGTACATATTCACATCTGCTACTGGAGTCTCTGGTTCAAAGGTGCAAAGCAAGTGAGCACACTGCAATTTCAGGTACAGTATAGGCCTAGTATTATATCCAGCACAAGAATATTACTGTTATACATTCTCTGCTACTCAGATGTAACTTAGTCAGTGAATGATATCCATGGACAAGTACTGTACTTCAAACATAATTCAGTGATTTTCTTAGTAACAGATTTTTAAATCTCAGGAGCTTAATGAAAAATAAACCAACAAAATACCTGGCTCATGCTTCCTTGTGTAATAAGAGTCAAACGTTTCATTGTTTAAGATATTGAAGGTATGTTGACTGGTGAACTTAATAAGTGAGATCGTAGTTGTTTGCCCTTCATACAAGAAACTTATTGGTTCATTTGTTTTAGGAAATTTAGGGAAGTTCCCATTTGAGATTGTTTTTTGGGTCTAGACTACTCAAGCTATCTAGTGGTGACTCGTTTTCTAGAGTGTCATACTCATAAAATCTTAATTGTTCCTGCAGCTCTGATCACATGAGCATAATTATGATAATGTAGCAATTGTAACTGCATAATAATTTAATTTGGCAATAACAAATGAGAAGGGTTGCTTTTCTCATTATTTATATATATATATATATATCTGTCTCTTATACACATCTAGATGTGTATAAGAGACAGAATATATATATATATAATATATATATATATATAATAAAATAGTAATATAAATAATATTTTATTATTTGTTATTATTATTTATGTATTATAATTTTATTATTTTATTAATATTTATTTTATTTATAGTTTATATATTTATATTTAATAAAATAATAATATAAATAATATGTTATTTATTATTATTATTACTCTTATGTTTTTATTATTATTTTATTATTTTATTAATATTTATTTTATTTATATTTTGTATATATATTATATTAGTGGTACCATAGTTTCTCTTGTATAATCCCACCTCTGGTATATCAGTCCATCCTTACTTTATGTCCAATTTTTATGTTATTTATAATATGTTATTTATTATTATTATTACTCTTATGTTTTTATTATTATTTTATTAATATTTATTTTATTTATATTTTGTATATTTATTATATTAGTGGTACCATAGTTTCTCTTGTATAATCCCACCTCTGGTATATCAGTCCATCCTTACTTTACGTCCAATTTTATGTATCAGACGTTCCTCAGCCAAAAGCCCATGGGTAAGATTTGACAATGTACTCATAAAAAATATCAAATATGAGCTTTAGATTAAATAGGCATTCAGTGCAGAAAAATTGTCATTCGATTAAAAAGGGAATTCCCCAGGTATAAACGTACCCAAAAAATTCGTCCAATTTTGTGTTTAAGGGGGAAATGAGCTTATACCAGAGAACAACGTTAATTATTTATTTTCTTCTGAGCTTCTGTTTATATTTTCTTGTATTTCAATTTTTTTTACTGACATTGTTACTGAAACTATTGATACAATCAAACATAATATATAAAAACTAGTTATAAATTGACAAGCATATAAAATTGCTATGTATCATATTCATTAGGTTGCACTGATCTTCATCTTTAATAAATGAAAATTTATTTATTTATTCAATTTGATTGAGACAAAAAGAGAGGTATGTAGCCTCGACATTTAGACTAATAAGCACAATAGCTGACAGCAAGAAGTATTATGCAAACAATTAAATGAATTGTTGCTGAAAATACATATATAGAGACAATATCAAATTTGTTAATGCTGTACTGTTTTGAGAGATCTGAGGTCTGAGAATTGTTTCCTGTTGTGAAAGTAGTCATTTTAGAGGGCGCTAGACAACTTTACAAAGTTTTGTGTTTTGCTGGGATGCAGAATTTTAGAGTTGAAGATTAAAAATCGGTACTTATTTCTGGGTTTCACAGTCTGAATATAGTCCAGGAACAAATCTAGCCAATTGAGTGGGAAGCCCTGATGGAAATCTCTGGAGTTCAACTATGGAAAGTTCTGTAGAACTTGAGAAGAACTCTGATGCTGTCATACTGAGTGTCAGGTTTCATTGCCAAACTTGGTCCAGCCCACAAAGGCCCACTGAACTACTTCTGGCCGCTAAAATCGGTCCACCGGATCGACTTTATCTGTCAAAACCAGTCTCTCTTGGATAAGCGAAAATAACATCATAACTATTCATAAATTTTGGTGGCTGTAAATACTCAATTGCATACTGAATGAATGAACACATAATATATATAAAAGATGAGCTATTTTATGTATCATTTGATATATACTATTTTGTAAAAAATATGAATAACAGTAAAATTTCATAGGTTATATCTACTAATTAGGCAGACTGATTTTGCCTTATGTGGACTACATTTGGTAAGTTATTTTGAAGCCAAAATTGTCGTCCAGTGGACTGATTTTGTTCTTCTAATAAATTGTAAAAAGCAGCATTTTAGATTAAGAGGGCCAGTACAGCATCCATGAGATATGACTTTAGTGTTTGCTTAAAAGTATTTATATTGGTTGATTTTTTCATATAGACACATGACCAAAATAATATATAATATTTTAACAGGTTTTAGTGACTTATGGTGAATATACTATAGATTGCTATTGCAGGATACATTTTGCGATTTGGAGTGTAGGCTAGTTTTATGACTTAATCGAAGTCTATGTCAGTACAGCAGGGGTGGAGAGAGGGGAACAGTGGGGACATCCCCATACCCCAGTTTTTCCGTCGCTATCCTTTAATAAAAATTGAAAATGGCATACAAATACTAAATGTTACAATATTTTGTTACAGCATAATATATTAAACACAAATCATAAAATTATTGGAACCTTATTCATCTGTGTATTAAGTATCTTACATTATAGGCCTGTATAAATTTTATGGCTCTTTGTTTAAAAAATTGTAGATATATGTTCCAATTTCATGGCTTCATATAGATCGCTGTTTAATCAGTATGTTTATTTTATATATTATATTTCAATAAAGTCCAATGTCTTCTCTTACTCTGAATTTGCCCCTGAAGAATCTGTACATCATTCTACATGACATTGCAGATTCAGGCTATGATTTCCAGGTAGCCATCGTTGTCCACATCACAGTCGACATATCTGACATTTCCAATTGGTCCCATCTGGCATGTTGCCTCCAAATCCTCACCTATTTCATCGTAGAATGCAGTGTCATCTTCTGCCTGATGAAATGTTTGCGTTGCTGTAGTACTTTCCTGATTGTGAACAAGTTGTGTGATCCTGTACAGGCCGATATCATTATTCGCCTGTTGTCGGGCCTTGTTTCTACTCCATGATACATTGCAAAAGGATATTTCATCGCTGACATTCGTAGTTTGTGGCCAATCTATCAACTGGTTGTTGGTATTGTTGACTTTTTTCCTGCAACAACTGCTGATCTCGATAAGAAGTAAAATGAAGAATGCAGAAGAAGCACATGCAATTGCTTTGATAAACTGCTGCTTGGTTATGAAATCTTGGCCACCAGATGACACAGTAGGGTCTTTCTGAATGTCAGATACAACTGTATTTGTAGTTTCATTGCTGAATCTTTCTTCGTGATTAGTTGGTGTAGTGTGTGGTTGTGTCGTGTTTGTTGGGATTAAAGTGGGGGTTGTTTTCGTATCTTTTGTCTGTATTGTAGAAAATCTCAGGAATACCCTATTGTCCAATGTTGATACTGTCACTGCATTAAATGTCCCCAGAATGATCAGGAGCACCATGACGTGACAGATGTTATCTATTCTGGGAAAGGGAAAAGTATGCATCACAGTGTCTGTACTTCAATCCTTTGTCGTTTTATAGCATGTGGAATACAGTCTGAAAGAAATATTGATTCAATATTATTATATAGTTTTAATTCAATGCAGTGCCAACTAGTTATAATAAAAATTAAGTTTACAAAATATGCCTGTATGTGAGTAAATAATTATTGCACATAATAGGTAAACAATAAAAAGCATAATGTATTGAACTACAAAAAATAATTATACTGTTTTCCTGACATATTTTAGATAATGCTAGGTGGTCCTGACACCCCTCAAAATTTAAAAAGATATCCTGATTGTAGTAGTAAATGATGGTAATATGTAAAAAATATAATATATGAAATGTAAAAGTTGCCCTCATTTTATTCTGAGTGACTCTTGCCTTGGACACACACGCTGTTTCATCTAGAAACCTTAAATGTTGTGCGTGTATAAAATGGAAATGAAAAACAATTTGTTATAATCATAGTCGTTTTCTGGTTACCTATATTGAGGTAGCAAATGAAAACACTCATTTTTTACAGTATTTTGTAAATTCACTCTTCCCTAGTATAATACAGTTTAACCTCCCTGTGCAACCACCTCTTGTAAGCAATCACCTTCCTTCCACTCTCTTATGGTCCTGTTTGTCTGATCAGTGCATTTGATACTTTATTGTAAGAGTGCCATCTCCCATAAGCGACCGCGAACGCTTTTGACTTTTGGATTTTTCTTATGATTTATCTCCTGTAGCCAACCACTTTAAAAGTTTTGTATTGACAACAAATACAAATTATCTAACAAGTTGAACCTAAAATTAGACGTGGCAATGGTGTACCGTTAGCTGCATCAAACTAACATTATATAAAAGCAATAATAAGATAAATAGGCCTATGCTTTCTCACGTCCAAGAACATGCTTGCAGTAGTTAATAATTATAATGGTATATTTATATAGTGCATATTGCACATTGCCCCTATGCACTTTACACAGAAATTATATAGGGCACCCAAGAAAATTAAATTAAAAATAAAGTTGATAGAACAACATGCCTGCTTTTAAGACCAATTTAAAAATAGGCCTTCAATTGAGATTCAAGATTATAAAATCATTGTACCCTTTTTTGGTGGAACCAGGGAAGAGTGAAATCTCACACCAAATTTATTTTCTTGTTTACACATTGCGTTCAGGATTGTTTTGTTGTTAGAGGCTTTATAGTAATTAACATGGTGAAATATCTCACTTCTACAGGGCCGCTGGAACATTTTTTTAAAGTGAAGGGGGGGGGGTGGCCCCACTAGCATTTCTTTCTGGTCATACAAAAATCTGCATAGACATTATATATTTTCTGCCAAAAAGATGGGGTTGGTTCCGCTGGTCATGTTCTAACTTTTATCACTAACGCTTTTTAAAGTGAAGGGGGAGGGTGGCCCCACTAGCATTTCTTTCTGGTCATACAAAAATCTGCATAGACACTATATATTTTCTGCCAAAAAGATGGGGTTGGTTCCGCTGGTCATGTTCTAACTTTTATCACTAACGCTTTTTAAAGTGAAGGGGGAGGGTGGCCCCACTAGCATTTCTTTCTGGTCATACAAAAATCTGCATAGACATTATATATTTTCTGCCAAAAAGATGGAGTTGGTTCCGTTGGCCATGTTTTCTTACTTTTATAACTAACGCAAATGGTCACGTATCACAAATTGTTGCAATCTAATAACTTGCAAGGCTTGACTCCCTTTTACCCTGGCTGAACCCCTGTAACTATGTACAATACCTGAATCAATACGTGTATGTACATGTGACATATAAAGCAGTTATCAAGTTATTTTGGAAACAACGATATAGAAAATTGAAATGAGTACATTATTTCCTTAAAAAATTGCATTAGCATTGTAGGCTTCAGGCAGTTTTTCAGGAAATAGTAGCTTCTTAGGTTTCCATTTTCTGTAATATCCTTAAAAATTGACAAAATAATTGCATACTCTGTATAAATAATAATAATAACAGTGCATGAATAGGAACAAGATGTTGTAATTATATCAAGCAAACCCCTTTCCGGTTGTATAAAAAAAAAGTGTCTCTGGCAGGATTTGATCCGGCAATCTCTAATTATCAGGTGAGTATCATACCAATAGACCACAGAGACCGGTAGAGTAACCCCAGGCACTTTCTCTCATACAACCGATTCAAGTGCTCCAAATAAAAATAGTTCCCCTGGCAGGGAATTAAACCTGCGATATCTCGCTGTCAAGGTGAGTGTCAATGCCAGTTGACCACGGGTGATGCTGGTATATAACAGATACAAACGAAACTAGTACATTTTTTATTTTATTCAGTATAAAACCAACAGCGATGAAAACCGCCACTAACAGGTTCAACTAAAACATATATAAATATATATTATAAACTTCAAAACTGAAATAAACTAAAATACACTTACACAATTTTAACTATTTTGCTTTTAAAAATATTAAGACTATCATAAAAAATATCAATATTAAAACAAGTATCAAGTAGTCTATTAAATTCGTTCGGTAAACGTTGAAAAATACCCCGTTTTGTGCAATCAACACGACCGTAAGGAACATGAAGTAAACACTTACTGCGGGTACGAGTCGGGATGTTTAAACTGAACATAGAAACAAGAGGACAATCATAAATGGAATTTAAAGACATATAAAAAAAACCATGTCAAAAATAATTCTACGATTTTCAAGAGACATAAGAGAGACATTATAATTGGGACAAGTATGACTAAGAAACCTAATAAACTTATTCTGAACATTAGAACCTGGGTATGGGCATTAAACTCCCTGTCTCTTTGTGTAAAAGAAACTGAACTAAAAATAACAGAACAAGTGGCTGGCAAAACATGTTAATTTCGTCTTTTGAAAGCTAAACGTATAATGTCCTTTTTCTTGAACACACTGAAGATACATCTGACCTACTTATACCCATAGTATTTATTCTTTTCACCTTATCGCGAGTTACAAAAAGCATGTATTTTAGTGGGGTAAATATTTCAAGTTGGTGATTTAGCCTGACTATAGTCAGGCTAAATCACCAAAAATGTGGATAAGAGACAGGAGATACACAAAGATTTACATTTACTAATTTTTAAGGAAAGCTTCCATGACTCCGACCATTTCGTAAGTGACTTCAAATCATCTTGTAATAATTGAGCATCTTGAAGTGAGGATATTATTTTAAAAAGTTTTAGGTCGTCAGCAAACAAAAGTGATTGAGAAAACTTAAAAATAGAAGGGAGATCATTGATATATAAATTAAAAAGCAACGGGCCAAGAATTGACCCCTGTGGAACTCCAGAAAGTACTGGAAGCCACTCGGAGCAAGTTCCACTAATGACCACCCTCTGATGTCTATCGGTCAAGTAATCAGAAAACCACTTCAAAAGGTTACCCGATATCCCAAACTTTGAAATCTTAAAAATAAGAACCTTCAAACAACATATATACCCCCTCACAAAGTAGGACTGAGCTAGTGAGAATTCGCTGCACTATTAGATAAAGTAAAATACTAGGCCCATAGCCAGGGCGGTTTTTTTTAGGGGTTCAGGCAAAACCCCCTTTTTCAGCGAACACCCTTTTGCCAGCGAACCCCCTTAGCCAAAAAAACGAACCCCCATTTCCCAAATAATGCAATTTATTACAAAATGGGAACATTTTTTGCACTGTTTATTTGTTGCGATCGATAAAGTCTGATCGTGGAAATCAATACAAAAGCTGCAGCCAGCTGAATAATCACCTAGACTTCATAATGAATATTAATGAGGGGTTTGTTGCCGAGGTTATTTGACCTATAGAGTGCTCCGGAGATTTATTTTATTATTTTAGCATAATAATTATAGGCCTACACTGTATGTCTATTTTTTTCTCAATATTTCTCATTTAAACAAGATACAGCTTACATACGTTAAATATGTATAATTCCTTGAGATAAACCAAATATTACTAACTGTTTTTTTGTTGTTGACAGTTTCGCCTGGCTATCAGTCAGGCTTCTGTGAAGGGTTTTCGCCGATGCTCGTTGGTAGCGGGCCGCTCCAGCCGTTTTTAGCAGTTGATCATATAGGTGTGAGAGGCAATGTGTGCCTTCGTCTCTATTTATTGTGGCGTTATTTCTCCTAATACTGTGAAAGGCGATGTGCGCCTTCGTCTCTATTCATTGTGGTGTTATTTCTGCTAATACATTGTATTAGGAGAAATAACGCCACAATAAATAGATACGAGGGCGCACATCGCGTCTCATTATGATCAACTGCTAAAGATGGCTGGAGCGCCTTGAAAAAGTGTTTTTAGTTGGCAGCAAAAAATTGAATTGAAATTCTTATTGTCAAGTTTGGCAATTTGAAAAATTGGTCATGGAGAAGATTTGGAAAATTTTTGGCCATAGGAGGTAAATTTTTGCATCATAGCTCTATAGAATATTAATCTGTAGAATTTGAGAAATAATCCAAATTAATAAAAACGGAAACTATATTAAATAACATTTTTCTTGTATCAATGTAGATATACTAAATACTTCTAATAAAAGTTATGGATGTACTTACATTTACTTTCTGTCCAGTCGAATTGAAGATTTATTTGTTGATATGATTCTCTTGTTGGTGTAATATTTGAAATAGATACTGCTTACTTCCTCAGGTTCATTAAATGCAACATTTATAATTTGCATACCAGGAAAGCAGTCATCTTTGTTATTCTAAATGATAACAGGAAAAATAATGCAAAAGCATCATCCTCCTGAGATTTGATTCAATGTATGTGTTGTGGGTGGGAATGCTTTTTGACTTTGAGACTGACTTTTAAGAATTCTGAGATGGTTGGTTCTGGTTCTAGAGTAGACAAATCAAACATTTCAGCCTAATATCGGCACCATAATGATACACTGATTAGCTGGTGTCCCAAGCTGGAAGAAGGCACTTCCATCAGATCTGGTTAAATGCAGTGTTGGCTCCAGAAATTTGCCGACAAGAGGTCCAATAACGGGGTGCAGATTAGTGTCCAGTAACAAAAATTCCTGATGGGGTTAATGGGAAGAGTGTTTATGGCTTAGTATGTCCCAAAATTGTGCTTTTAAACCTCAATATTAGGGATTGCAATCAAATAATGTTTTAGGTAGGCAAATTATTATTTTTTACCCGGCAACCTCATTTTGGCATCAGGCAACATGGGGTCCAAGTCTGTCTGATGGGGGAAAATGCCTTCACTCTTCTAGTGTTGGGAATCGTGCGGCTTAAATTAGATTTATTTACTGTCATTTAGTGGGCGTTATTCAAAGAAAAAATTAACGCCTGAGGCATTTATTCGAGGGAGGTGTTTATTCAAAATGAGGCTCTAGAGGGGGTGTTTATTCAAATTAATATGGTAGTATAAACTATAACATCCTCCATGCTTCCAAGCCTGAGTTGGTCAATTCAAGCACTTTCCCTTCTCTCTTTCCTTTGCCCTTAAAAATATGTCTCACTCATTAAGACAGTATTGGGGTGTATGCCTACAGTACAGTATATCATTATATATATCATTTTAATATTTTATCATTTTGTATATTATATACTTTTTGTGTATCGTCTTAGTTAAGCATAGTGTGTGTTCATCAAATCAAATACTTGAGTGACAGTCTAGTGACGCTGATGGCTTTCCTTTCCCCAGAGAGTGCTGATTGCCCTAGGACTTGCTAGTGATGACATCACCTACTTTGTACCCAACTCAATGTGGTTATTGCATCTTGAGAATTAATTTTTCTAATCTTAATTATGGGTTTACATTGCAAGCCAAAAAGGCTAAAAGCTGAACATGCCTAATTGTATTACAAAAAAAACAAACATTTTTCACATAGAACCTCAATAAAAATCAATATATGATGACTTACTAATAATTTGATTAAAATTTCTATTGATTCAAAAACAGATAATCACATTATTATGTTAAACAGTTTGTAAAATTGTATTAACCGCCATTTAGGAGTTTAACAGTTATAAAGATATCCTCTATAACTATAATTTCTTTTGTATATTATATAATTATGTAAAACTTTTTTTTTGACCTTACAGACTTAGGCTGTGATTTCCAGGTAGTCATTAATGTCCACATCACACTTGAAATACAGTAACTGGCATTTCCAATCATATGGAAACGTTGTATCATTTGCTCTCCAAGGTCGCCTTAACCATTGGAGAAAACTGGATTTTTTTCACAAAAGTACGTTTTTGGTACAAAATCTATGATTTTCTTGTAATGGCCCAAGCGGATTATGTTGTAAAAAATATTAATCTACCAATTCGTGAAGAAAAAATGAAAAAAATCCTTATAGTTTTGTCGGAATACGCCGATTTATAACAGCTCCTCACGCCGACACATTATTATGTTAAACAGTTTGTAAAATTGTATTAACCGCCATTTAGGAGTTTAACAGTTATAAAGATATCCTCTATAACTATAATTTCTTTTGTATATTATATAATTATGTAAAACTTTTTTTTTGACCTTACAGACTTAGGCTGTGATTTCCAGGTAGTCATTAATGTCCACATCACACTTGAAATACAGTAACTGGCATTTCCAATTGGTCCCATCTGGCATGTTGCATCCATAATCTCACGTATTTCATAGTAGAAAAGAAGTGTTTTCTTCTTCCTGATGAAATGTTTGCATTGCTATAATACTTTCCTGATTGTGAACAATTTGTGAATTCTCTGATACATTGCAAATGTTGGTGCCATAGGATATTTCATCGCTGACATCCGTAGTTTGTGGCTATGTCATTGACTGGTTGTTGTTATTGTTCACTTTTTCCCTGCAACATCTGCAAAAACTTGATTAGAAGTAAAATGAAGAAGAATGCAACACTACATGCAATTGCTATGATGAAATCCATGTTGGTTATGAAATCGTGCTGATTGTTGGATACTACTGTATTTGTAGATTCATTGCTGTTAATACTGAATGTCTCTTCCTGATTAGATAGTGTGGTGTATGGTTGTAATGGTGTAGTGTTTGTTGGAATTAAAGTTTCAATGCGATTAGTTTCTTGTGTCTGCATTATAGCATGTTGGCTAAAAATTTCAAAATTACGTCATTTCGTATTCTTAAGACAAACTTCGATTAGTTCCAGTGGTGGCGCCAGCGGGGTGGCAGGGGGGCTTAAGTCCACCACCAGACAGGTCAAGCCCCCCCCCCACCGGACCGAGCTTGTCGGGCAGTCAGACCATAAAACATATAAAAATAGGCCTACACCAAGCCAACACATGTCTGTCACAGTCTGAGAGTGCCATTTTCAGCCATCTAGAGGTTGATAAATCATGCGAACCTCGACTAAAATTATACCTCCACAGGCCAATTTATTTAGTCAGCCTATAGTCAGGCTAAATCACCAACTTGAAATATTTACCCCACTAAAATACATGCTTTTTGTAACTCGCGATAAGGTGAAAAGAATAAATACTATGGGTATAAGTAGGTCAGATGTATCTTCAGTGTGTTCAAGAAAAAGGACATTATACGTTTAGCTTTCAAAAGACGAAATTAACATGTTTTGCCAGCCACATGCGATATTTCCTGACGCGCGAAATCCCCTCACTTTGCGGTCATGTATCTTCACCGTAACAACAACAAAGATGGCGCTGCCCTCGATCAAGCTCAACTATAGTAGTTCTCCAAAGAATACAAATTTTGGTGCTGTTCAAATTCTCTATCGTTAAATGTTAATGACTAATATATTTATTATTGTAGAAAATTAATTAAGCGAATGATGGTTTATTGTGAATTAAGGGGAAATATGTTTTTGAACGACAGATGGCAGCCTAATATTCATCCGTGTCTTCAGCTGAACTGCATCTAGGACTTGATTTAGTCGTAGTTAGGACTTCGTCTACGTTATCAATACAAATTGAAGTTTAAGTTACAACTAGGTCTAGATGAAGTTCTAGTTCAAATTTTGACTATAGTTCGTTTAAAGAATGTGGTGTTTTGGTGAAAAATGTTGACTCCATCCCCTAAATTTGAACCCAGATCATATACCCTCTCACCTTACTAGTGCCCCCTCCCCCCACTTTGAAAAACATTCTGCCGGCCCTATAGAATATGTTGAGCCTGAAATTGACCAAAAAAAATGGAAAACTAAGCCTGGGCAAAATTGTACTGGTTGTTATAGAAAAAAATTGAATTGATATTCTAATTGTCAAATTAAGAAAATGGGTCATGAAGCAGATTTGGGGAATTTTTTGGGCCATAAGAGGTACAGCAAGTGGTTGCCAACCGTAGCTCTTTAGAATATATCTGCTGAATTCTACAAATAATCAAAATTAATAAAATTGTAAATATTAAACAACATTTTTTTTGTGTATCAATGTAACAATACTAAATATGATAGTAATTGTTATTGTCGTGGTGGAATAGGCAATAACTGGATATGTCTATGATGTATGTACTTACGTTATTTGCTGTCCCGAATTATATGTTTCTCTTGTTGGTGTAATAGTTGAAATGGATAACACTCACTTCCTTGTATTCATAAAATACAACACTTTTATATGTAACTGTTATTCTTGATAACAGTACAAACACGAAAGCATCACCCCTCTGAGACTAGTTTTAATGTTTGTGTTGTGGGTGGGAATGATTTATGACTTTGAGACTGACTTATTCAGTTAGATTACAAAGGCCTACAACACAAGGTGGGGATTCCCCATTGGGAATTACTAAGACATTTGAAGCCATAGTTAGTTGAACAGTTAAAATTTTTAAATCATGGTGTCGATATAAAGATGATTCATGAGTTTCCAAATTTACTTACAATAAACAAAAAAAAAATGTTTTTTTTCATTTTTGATCTCTGTTTTATACATTAGCTCATTTACTCAATACTTGCCTGTCATGGAATAACTTGCCCATTTTGCCACAATGACTTAAATTATCTAAATTTTTACTTTCCCAAACTGTCCCCCCTCTATTTTGCTTTCCTGGATCTGCCTCTGATAGGCCTAATGATAAATTAATAAGTAAATCACCTTTACTGTTTGTGAAATCAAAATGCTAACTAATGTTTTTTGTTCTTCCTATGTACCTAGTGCTGTTTGATCTTAAATTGGACGGTAGTATTTCCACTCACACTAGTTTAATCGCAATACTACTTGCACAAAAGCGAAATAAAAAAAACAGAGAAAAGGAATAAACTCTTGATTGTTTTTTAATGTACAGTACATGCAGAGAGACTAAATTAATGACTGTTTTAAGATTATCTTTTTTGTTTTTCATCGTTGGAAAATGTCACAAGCTAATCAGTAAATAATAACTCATTATTTTTATGAATGTCAGTTTGCACGAAATGTATAAGCGTGCATAATTATGACTACCAGGATAATTTGAAAACTTTTTATGATGAGTATTTCAGTGGCAGGTTCAAGGGGCCCAGCCAGCCCACCCTCTCGAATTTTTTTTTCAAATTTAAAAGTAGAGAAAAATGAAAGCTTTATTCAAATTTAGTCTGAAAGGGCCATTTCCAGCCAACTAGAGGTGCCATAATCATAAATCTTCTTATCTCTGTCCCAAGTATGGTGGGGCTGAGGTGGTCTACACTCTCCATCTGTAAAAGTCCCTCCCTGGGCCCAGCTCTATTTAAAATTCCTGGATCTGCCACTGTATTTGCTGTGCGAATAACCTCGGCCATTTTGAAAATGTAGTTTGGAAGTAAATGTTAATTGCATTCCTAAAAATCAATTGGATACGACTTATAAAAAGCTATAGGCGCCAAAGCTTCCGGGGGCTGCACCCCCTGAACCATCACCGGGGTCCTAGGCAGACGACCTGACACCCAACTAAAGCTTGGACCTACGGCCCAAGGCCTTCTTATTTTACATTTCGTCCTCCATTTTTAACCAGGGATCGACACCCTTGCGAAAAGGACTAAGTAAGTTAGTGTATCATCATATATTATAACATGGATGCAGGCCTCCTCCATGCATCCAAGCCTAATGAGTCAATTCAGGAATTTCTCCTTCTCTCTTCCCCTTAAAA